ATTCTGGCACAGCAATAGGCTGCCCCAAATTTAAATCTGAAACCACTATAAAAGCCTGACTCACAGATGAACACTATACAGAAGCCTGATGATGGCAGATGAGATTCTGCTGAAACGTCGCTACAACTTTAAAAGCACAACAAAATGACGTGGGAAAATACCCGAACAAAGCCGAATGCCATACATGTAAGTACCCATGAAAACTTAAGAAAACAAATACATATATATACACATATACATATATATGTGTGTGTGTGTGTGTGTGTGTGTGTGTGTATGTATGTATATATATGTGTGTGTGCGTGTGTGCGCTGAGGTTTTCGCGGGTATTTGTATGTGGATCTTTGGTTATTTGGGTTTTCTCCTGCGTAAAATTGGAAGTATCCTGGCGACGTTTCGACGAAATCTCATTCATCATCTTCAGGTTTGTGTCTTCAGCTTTGTGCTTCTCGGAGTAATTAATTAAATACTTATATATGTGGTATTCAGCTTTGTTCGGGTATTTTCCCACATCATTGTAGTTGTGCTTTTAAAGTTGTAGCAAAGTTTCGGCAGAATCTCATCTGCCATCATCAGGCTTCTGTATTGTGTTCGTCTGACGAAGTTATTATCTGCCATAGTCATGTGAAATAAGAACTCCTAGACAGCTAACATATTCACTGCACATCTTAAAGTGATAATTGCTTAATAAATTCATGAAGGGATTTTTACCTATTCACATAAATTCTGATTTGGCTCAGTTAATTCCATATCCTGGTATTTTCCCAATCATATTATTAAATTCATCGAAACTAAAATTGAAGCATGGAACATAGAAATGAACAATAAAATATCATTGTTATGTAATTTATATTCTGCAGAATTAAAATATAAACCATGAATAATTTAATCGTGTCTAATAGCACACACTGGGGTTCCAGACAAATTTTAAAGGTCAAAGGAGAAAATAGACATTGTTATCCAGTGTCTTCATAAAATGGAAATATGAAAGAAAAAAAACTATTAATTTTCATTTTGGATATGAAGTTGTCATGTACTATAGAAAGCGGATCCAATAGGTTTCTGTTTGTGTGTTGCAAATCAAGAATTATTGACTAGGTAGAATGGAGCAACAATGGAGCAACAATTATCAGTGCAACAGTTACAGGGCATTTTTAACAATGAAAGAGTTTTAACTATGTCCAAACAGAAAATACGGATTTGTCCCCCAATCCCTTTCATTGGTTACATTACAGTCGTTTGCTCATTTATCCAACAGTATCAATGTTTCTCAACCTTGGCAACTTTAAGATAGGTGGACTTCAATTCCCACAAGTCTCCAGCCAGCCATACTGGCTGGAGAATTCTGGGAGTTGAAGTCCACTCATCTTAAAAGGTTGAGGAACACTGATTATTCGTGCTCTCATATTGAAGGATTAACTTATCCCTGCTTAAATACTGCCACCTGTAGAGGCACTGTATACTTTAGAGATACTAACACAATGGTGTCATATTACATAGCACCAGGCATTTCTACTGCATGCCTCATTTCCCACCTGTTCCAATGAAATCAGGTGCTAGATTAAAAGGAAAAACTTCCCCACATACTTCCACTAATACTTTAAAACCCACAGAAACACATGGTTGCTCCCTCTTCTGAGTCATCTTTAATGCTATTTACTAATGACTTTGTAATCTCGGGTCCAATGTTCTAAGTAATTGTTTTCCCCTTTATTCTTATTGCCCCTTACGCTTGCCCCTTACGCTGCTTTCTTTGTGTGTCTTTCCAATGACTCAGGTATTTGCTTTGAAAAAGCTGAGTATCGCATAGGGAAGTGTGAGTGAAAAAAAAAAGTCACCAGTAATTCTGGATTATGATTCTTGGCACACAGGATAAAGTAGCTGATTCAGAAGAAGGGAATGCAAGCCTGTGGATGCCACTTTCCTGGGCCTCCCTGAGATAAATTTCCCAGCTGGTTAGTGTTTCCACCTACCGTGTAACGTAACCAACTGCTAATCAGTAAAAGAGCTGACTAATGAGAAGATTAGTTATAACTATGCCAGAGCTCAGAGAGAGATGTTTGGTGGTTAGAGCTGGTTCTTAGAATGAAGCTACGAAGAATCCTTGTTTAATATATAGGCTTCTTGCTACAAAACCATACAACCTTTTCATTCTTAGGATTTTTATTCCTCAGATTGAAGAGAAAAAAAATCCCAACAAAGTTGGCTCGATTCCTGATTGCAGCGTTGTTACTTGACGGAGCGGTATGAGAAGTTTACAACCAGTTCTGCAATGAGCAAACAGCTATTACCAAAGAAGATGCCTTTGGATTTTAGGAATGTCTGTGTCCTTCTGCCAGATCGAGACCAGCTCAGTTTGACTGTTGGGGTAAGTGTATCTAAACTTGTTTCAGGAATGAATAACACAGATAGGTACCTGCGTTATTTAGAGAGTGTGAGGAATATATTAGAGTTTCTGTGGAGTTGCAAGTTGGGAAAAAAAAGCTTGTAAGCTGAAAAATAATTTTCTTTTAAAAATGGATCCATATTAGCATAAGTTGGATCTGTTTCTTCTGAAACTTCTTTTCATATTTATTTGATGTTTTCGTAGTGTTGGAACACTAAAAAAAGTGTTTGCTTGGAGGCTGTTGATTTCATTGTGTTAATTTTTCAACATGGTGGACCTGGGGAATCATACTTTGCAAGTGTTATTATCCTGTATATCTTCCAACAAAATTATGTAGCACTATATTCTGAGAATTTTTTCCCTTGTGGGAAAATAAAAGTTGAAATGTAGTGCAGGTAGTAAGGTAGAAAATGAAGTAATTTAGAATCTATGATGCCTATTAGAGATATCAATGGAATTATGTACTTCTATAAGGTTGCAGGTTTGAATGCCCAGGTTTTTCGTGCTTTTAAAGGTTTGTATTTTAATAAAAATCGTTATCACTGAAGTTAAACTTCTATCACGATTTGCATGTGTTTTTTTAAGTGCAAGATATACCTGTTTAGGTAGATTCCCTTTAGAAAATACACTTTTTCAGCTACTTCTAGTCATGCACAGACTTGTTTATTTATTTTTTTTAATCTGTTCTGTCACTGAAGAGAAAAGTATCAAAGAAAAGTATGGGAAGCTTACTGGGCATTTTAAAATCATCTAAAACATGGAGCTGTGTGTTCAGAGTAAACTGTCAAAGGACTATAATTCATTTTCCCGCTTCGGTTTTGAATAACATGGCCCTTCAAAAAGCATTAAAAAAAACCCCCAAGATAAATAGCCAAAAATGTTGTTGAATTTCCTAATGCCTTTGCAGCTCATACATTGTGATTGCTTGCTTCTAAATAATTTTTTAATGCTGGATATTCAAAGCAGTTTTTTCCTCTTTTGGTGTTTATGTGTTATAATGCACATCCTGAGGTGAACTGATCTAGCACTTACTACTTACCTATACCATGTGTATAGCCCTTTATCTTAAACCAAACTCTAGTTGGTTTATTATTATTATTTTGTTTCTCCTCTTGTATCATCATTTTATTATCAATTTCCCATACTTCCACTATTTATCTCATCCTCAAATTGCTGCACTTAAAACACTTAATTAAAGTTCATCAAAATGGACCCACTTTGAACACTGACTGTGTAGGTAGAAATGAAGGATGTAATGCCATTATCTCTGGGAGAGTGGTCTAATTTTGCATATACATTTCTTAAATTGAACTTTTCCTCATCATACGTTATTCAGTAAACTGCCATGGGTACAAATGAATTCATAATCTTTGTGAATTTGTAATAATAATAACCGTTATGAGTAGATTTAACTTGTACTTTATAAACAGTTCTTCAGCTTAGCTTTGTAACTGAATATCTCAACAAATATTAAACCTGTCTAGCTTCTGTGTAGAGCTCATCATACTGTTTTCTGGGGGAGGGAGTCAGATCAGCCCAGTGGTGGGATTCAAATTTTTTTACTACCGGTTCTGTGGGCGTGGCTTGGTGGGCATGGCGGGGAAAGGATATTGTAAAATCTCCATTCCCATCCCACTCCAGGGGAAGGATACTGCAAAATCCCATTCCCTCCCCACCCCACTAACCTTCCTTCCAGCTCTGTTCTCTTGTGCAGGGCAACAAAAGAAGAGCCAGTCAATCATCTGGGACTTGGGAGGCAGAGAATAGATGGGGGCAGGGCCTGTCAGAGGTGGGATTTGCCAGTTCTCCAAACTACTCAAAATTTCTGCTACTAGTTCTCCCGAATTGATCAGAACCTGCTGAATACCACCTCTAGATCAGCCATAGGAAACTACCTAGAGTGGATTTCCGCTTCTAATATGATGTTCCCTCCTCTTCCCATAGCTGAATTTCAGGAATGTCTGATTTCAGGATTGCATAGCTACAAAAGCAGCTTCTCCACAGCACCTTTTTGATTCTGAAAAAAAAATACATGATTGCTTTAAAGAGTTGCATACACGTGTTGCATTCATATTGCTATACATGTTCACTTTGTTTAGGTAGGAGGATTACGTTCCTTTGTGAGGGACATAGGTCTATATCATGACTTACGATATAGAACGTAAGAAAGTCTAAAATATGGTTCCCTCCAGTTTAAAATAAGATTTTTTAAAAAATTTATGGCCACCTTGTATTTCATATCTTGCTTCATATTGAAGTTTTCTGCTTTCAAATTATCTCAGTAGTTACAGTACATTATTAGCAAAATGTTCTTAGAAATTGTTCCTTAAAAATGAGAAATGTATTTAATTGGAAACATGCTTAAAATATTCAAATTTCCTATGATTCCCACAGTACAGGTACAGTACAGGTAGTCCATTCAAAGTGACCATTCAAAGTTACAACCACAGTGGAAAAAAGCAACTTACGACCATTTTTCATAGTTACGACCTTTGCAGCATCCCCATGGTCTCATGATCAAAATTCAGATGCTTGGCAACTGGTTCATACTTATGACCATGCTGTGTCCCAAGGTCATGTGATCACAGTTTGCAACCTTTTGACAAGCAAAGTCAATGGGGAAGCCAGATTCACTTTAACAACCAGGTTACTAACGTATCAATTGCAGTGGCAATTGATACGTTACTAACAACTATGGTAACCAATGTGGCAAGAAAGATCATAAAATCGGGCAAAACTTTTACTGTAAAAGTGAAATTAAACAGGTGATTACACTTGATTTCATTCTTCCCCTTGCTTTGTTTTAGTGCAGTGATATTCAAGTTTCTATCTTTCCCTGAGGTTAGATTATATGATAGTTTCAAAATGATTTTTCAGAAGTTGTCCAAGATCCTTTTCTCCACATTTATTTGCCTGTATCAAATGTGCTCTTTCTGGACGCTTTTCACTGTCATTTTGACTAGAGCCATGGAAATGGTAAACCACTCTGGAGAAACAAGGTGGAAGAGCAGCACACCCAGTGGTGGGATTCAGCCAGTTTGCACCAGTTCAGGAGAACTGGTTGTTATATTTCTGAGCAGTTTGGTGAACTGGTTGTTGGAAGAAATCATTAGGGCAGAGAACCGGTTGTTAAATTATTTGAATCCCATCACTGAGCACATCCATTTAACAACAACTTAAATAGTTTTTATGAGAAACAGTACGCAGTATCTGGGTGGGGTATATCCATTTTTAAAAAGAAATGGAAGGGCCTTTACATAGCATTGCATTTCTGGTAGAGAATCTTGTTTGTCGATATAGTAATCTCTGCAAAAATTGTGAATAAAAACAGTAGATATGCTGATGCATAGTACTGAATGTAGTATTTCCTTTTGATTTTTTATTTATTTATTTAGTTTTATTTATTATTTGCTTAAAAGGGTTTTCCCCTGTATAATTTCCCCTTAAAATGGGAGTGTCATTTTATAATTGTTGAGAATATGATAATGGAAGCAGACCAGTTTTTCCCTTTTGTAACAATGGATTATCTCCCTTTGGGGTAAATACTGATATTTAGCCATTTCTGTAATTGTTCAGAATTAGGAATTATCATTCCTTCCTCATTTTTTCCTGTGGGCATCATTGAGTATAGGATGAGAATCAAGATATGGCTGGGTTCTCTTTTGCATGGCTTTGAAAATATGGTGTGTTTAACAGTTTTCCATTGTTTGGTTCTTTTGTTTTCCATCTGTAGAAGCAAAGCTTCATAACTTCACTTCCATCTGTATGATTCTGTATTCTTGTGGTGAAGCAGATATAAAAGTTATCTGAGATGGAACTGAAGTCTAGTCAAAAGGGAAAGGGCGTTAATTCAGACATAACAGTAACATACAATTAGGACAAACTTCAATTTCAAACCCTGCTTTGTTGGTTTCAGATCAAGGCCATGACTTGTCATGCATTAAATGTAAAACAGAATTCATTGGAAAGCAAGAATGGGTAACCTAGGTAAATGCGGACCCAGATTGTTGAGGGCAATATGCTGATTCTGTAAACTGCTTAGAGAGGCCTGTAAAGCACTGTGAAGTGGTATATAAGTCTAAGTGCTACTGCTAACCTGGTCACCTGCAGATAATTGCTAGACCTAAAGCCTCTGCCACCTTGGCCAATTAAGTAATTAAAACCCTTTTAAATACCCCTGGATTTGTAGAGTATGAATCTACTGAGGCAAGAATCAGCAATGCTCAGGCCATGTTGAACCATTGTATAAAGATGAAAGAGGTACCATAGAAAACAATGTTCAAAGTCTGTTAATTTGAAAGGGCAGTGTGAAAAGGCTTAGGATTTCAACTTTGGGCTGGCATAGATGTGTAGGGCTTAATTACTATGTTCTGGAGTAGACAGCTCTTCAGTATCCTGTAAGGCTTTTTCACTGTTTGCAATAAAATAATTTCTGTATGTTTAACCTGGGAAGCAATACAGAAAGAATGGCTGTACATACATGACATGGGTGAGATTATGCAAATGCTATAATTCATCACTGAGGTTAGTGGGCATAGCAGCCCCAAGATTGTTTTGGGTTAAATTAATTTCCCCTACCCAGCTATGTTCTCCAAATAGAAGAAAGGAGATAACAGGATTAATTCTCTCTTCTTCCTAATTGCACAAAATGGTTCTCAAAAATAGGAAATTAGCAGCTCTCTGGAGCACTAACTCTTAGTGAAGAACATAAAAATTCTGAGATGTTGAATCATTATAATATTAATTGATTAGTTATGCTCAAGTCATAGATGATTAGACTTATAGAACAAATTAATCTAAACCAACCAAATCACATTTTGGCTTGGTGCACTGTATAAACCAAAGCAGTGGATCACAGTGTTCTGATATATAAAATGCCCACTGTTTGTCATATCCTTCAGGTGTACAACAACATAGCAGGATATCACACAATACTGTACATCATTGTTTTACTATATAGTAATATCATGATTCATTGCTAAAGTGTTTATAAATTAATATTGTATTAAGCTAATTTAAGGCCTTTGGTTACAGTGAAAAATAATTTAAATAATAATCATTGCCCTGGAATCCTACCATAAATGCTTCAATGACCCGCAACTTTACTCTGTAGCACTGTGTTCCTTTCATATCTGCAATTCCTTAATGCAAAGGAATTCATAGTTGTGGTAGACTTGAAATATCCTACTCTAAACTGCTTAAATACTATTTTTGTGTTGTAGGTAAAAGCCACAGGACAGGAACTCTTTGATCAAGTTTGTGATGTACTGAAAATTAAAGACCCTCACTTCTTTGGCATCAGCGTTGTAAAAAGTAAGATAAATTATTTGACAACTATCCATAGCCTGTACCTAAATGGGCATGAAAGACATCTCAACATCCTTCCATCACTGACCTATGAAGATGCATATATGATAAGGGAGGAGTCTCTTTATTTACACTTATTTCTCTTTCTTTCTCCTTCTCCTTTCCTACCTTCAGCTATTCCTTCTGCCAACTTTTCTTTTCACCTCTAGGTAGAATTTAAAGCATTGTTTGTGTAACAAGGCTGACTATTTGCAAAGTCATCACAAAGTCAGTTTCTTTCATAACTTACAAAGAATGTTGTTTCTACAGAAATCTGAAGGACTTTGAACTTTATTAAATTATGCCATGGGAAAGGCTTACAAATCATTCCAACATATTAAACAGCATTTTTGTAGCTAATCCTCATCACCTTGATACCCTGGGAATATTTGCATGTGATATAATCCAAAAAGAGACTCTATAAGAGAAAACTGACCCTCGGTGTTTGGATGTCTGGTTCAGCCAGTGTTTTGTAGACACTGGGTGGACTGTTGTGTGGAATTTGTTTTCTCTCCACAAATATTCATTCATTATATGAGTATTTCCTCTCTTAAATGTCAGAGTATTACTGTGATTTTTTTTTAAAAAAAATCTCCCTCAAAATATAATGGCAAAGTATTCCTGAGGTGAAAATGAGCGCTCTCAGGTTTTGCATGTCAGCTGTAGACAGTTTGATATGCTTCAAAGTTATGGCTTCAGTCAACTTCAGTCAACATGGCCAATGGCAAAGGAATATGGGGACTGAAGTCTGAAAACCTGGGATCGGGATTTTTATTTGAGCATTGACTCTGCTTTCTTCTCTATGTAATTGATGTCCCTGGGAGGAGGGGATGTTTTTGGTGTTTTTTAGCCATTGAAGTCAGTGACCCTGTAGCAGGGGTTACATATGGAAGCTCAAATATTTCCATACCTGGGATAAAAGCCTACCATGAGTGGGCCTCGTATGTCTAGAGAGTGGTTATCTAACCTTTATGTGTTAATAATCCCTATTCAATTTATCTCTTTTGACCCACGATAATGATTATCAGTTGTTTAACTTCTTCTTTATCCCAAATCATTTAGCATCAGTAAGAACATAATAATCCTTTGCCATATTTTATTCACTGTAGAAATTAATAGTTAAACAGGAGGATCAGGATTTGACCCTCAAAAATACATTATTTCCTCCCTGGTTTGCATCTCAATATAAATTTGAGTTCTCTATGTTCAAAAATAGAGATTTTGCACACGTGAATATAATGCAAAAGTACCTATATATGTGACAGTTTGAACCTTGCCCACCAGGTACAATCCTAGACTAAAATGAGACTTAGAATAACTTTATTGTCACTTTGAATGTACACTAATTGGCATACATTAAAATGAAATGTCATTGCAAACAGCTCCCAAAGGGTCTGCACCTCTAATATATACTACATAGACAGGACAAAATAAATAAAAAAAGGAATAAATAAATAAAAACTAAATAAATACAAAATTATGCATATACTTTATGCATATATTATATGACATGGAGAAACAAAGAGAGTTTAATTCGGAGAGTTTCTCTGGATGAAACTTGTTATTCACCTGTCATTTAAAATGAGAAATACACACTTCAGAATTACATTTGCGATTTCCCAAGAAGTCACATGCATATTTAAAAATCAGTTTTTCTTTCAAATCTGCACTGTCCAGTCAGGCTGAATCAATGGGGTTTAGACATGACCTCCGAGGAGACTTTCTTGCGCATTATATTATTATTATTATTTCTAAAGGGTTTACTTTCACCCTACTCTGATTTCTGCCCTGGTCTCCCTTTTTGGTCAGAGGAATCTGATGGGAGATTATAACTGGCCATGTTCCCAATGGCATCAGACTTGGTTGGAAAGAGAATGGATGAAGAGCTGTCATTTGTGGTTGTGGCCATGCCATGGACAGAAATCAAACCTTCCCCCACCATTTTGTTGAAGCGGGATGCTTTCAGCACTTGGTATCAGTTATTTGCAAGCCAGCCTTCTCCCTCTCCCCTACACACACACACACACACACACACACACACACACACACACCTACCTACCAAACTACCTTAATTAAATGAGCATTCAGGTGTCATTTTTTGCGGGAGAACATATCTCCCCTCCTCCTCCAAAAGAGAAGGAAACCTAAGCACTTGACAAGGATCTATAACTTTACCTTTAATCTTGGAAATACACATTCTTGCACGCTGCTTTTCTTGTGAAAGGTGGGGTTGGGGGGGACAGCTGAGCTGTGGGGGTTTTGTAGCCGGAGGATTACCCTGCAAGTTGGAATTTTGACAACATTAACCTCATTAGAGTTGGAATGTAAGGTTGCATTCCTGCACGAAGGCTGCAATTGCAGGGTGAGACTGGGGACAGTTTGGGGATGGAGAAGTAAAAGGAGGGGGAGTTCTTGGCAGAGGAGGGCAGGCAGGTCACTTGGTGTTTACAGACATTTCAAAATGGCTTAGTGAGTCACTGAAGGTTGACTTTTGGTGCAAAGAAATCCTGCTTGGCTCCTATGTTTGGTCTTCCCAATCCTTCCCCAACCCAAGCAATTAAATATCTAAATTCCTCTTTAGGTATAAAATAGTCTCAAAGGCCAATTCTTAACAAAACGGGAGCTAATCTCTCAGGTAAAGCTCAGGCTGGGAGGGAGGGAGCAGGGAGGAAATTAGAGGGGGTATTAGTAGGTTCTGAATAGTTCCGGAGAACCGGTAGCAGAAATTTTGAGTAGTTCGGAGAACTGGCAAATACCACCTCTGACTGGCCCCGCCCCCATCTATTCTCTGCCTCCCCAGTCCCAGCTGATCGGCTGGGTCTTCTTTGGTTGCCCTGCACAGGAGAACAGAGCTGGAAAGCAGGCTAATGGAGTGGGAACTACAGAGGTGGTATTCAGCAGGTTCTGACCAGTTCTGGAGAACCGGTAGCGGAAATTTTGAGTAGTTTGGAATACCACCTCTGACTGGCCCCACCCCAATCTATTCTCTGCCTCC